CCCCAAAACCCCAAAACCCCAAAACCCCAAAACCCCAAATTGATGATATTTAATGAGAATTTTCAAAAGAATAAATTATAAAAAATCAAGTATTAAATGCCAATATTCTTCCTTTATAATTATTTATTATAATAATAGCTATCAAAATACATTAGCCTTTCACTCTCTGATAGAGATATTTATTTTCTTGTAGAATTGATCTACCTTTTCAATTCCTTACTCTCTTAAATATGTCTTAGCTTTCTTCGCAATCATAATCCATTCATCCTCCTAGTCATCATATTTCTCTCTCAAAATAAACAATGCCAAAATGGTCAAAAGCACTTGCAGATAAAGGTTTTTATCTTTTAACATCAACTTAATATCTCTTTCAAAATCTTCACTTATCTTATTCTCTTCAAAGTAGCTAAAAATAAGATCTGTTGTATTCCAATTTCCCACCGATGACTAATCATTTATCAAACTATTTAAAGTTGATGATTCTTATTATGTTTTAATGACTGATGATTGAGGTCTTGAGGCTTTTTAATGAACTTAGGATTAATTCTAAACAGTTGAACCTTTCTTGCCCTTAGATACTGCAGTCGTTGGCCTTGAAAAAGAGGATTATTTTGAAATTGATTCATTTTATGAGCTAGCTGAGCTGATTTTTTATCTAAAATCCTCAGAGTATTCTTCTTCATCTTCCAAAATATTTGCTTACTTTTTCATCACAGCACTTCCAAGAATCATCCCTGATCCTCTAGTGTCTTTTTTTTCATATTTTCTCGACTCCATTTAAATACCAGTTGACCTTAACATTGTTTTTGATTTAGTCATCATAGAACTATTTGTGTTAATTATAGTTTAATTTCCAATAGCAGAACGTTTCATACCACCTCCTTAGCGAAGCATTGGCTGAGAAATACCATAATTTGAAGGTATGGACTATTGAGGTCGAGTAGAGGCAGAAATTGTTGGAATCTTTACCTGCTTTAGCTCTCCGCTATGTTTTTCCAACTGCTTCATTATTCCAATAAAAGCGGTTTCTTAAGCAAGGACTTAATACTTTAGGGACAATAATAGTAACTCAGGTATATCTTATCTATTATCCTAGGAATCTCGAATATTTTACATCGCTGATTTTGCAGCAAGCTTGAATATTTCTTCTCCTGGAGGAAGTATACAAAAGTTCTCCCTGCTCATTATATGCTAGATTGGTTCATTTTTAATTGGATCATTATCACTTGTGAATGATGCTTTGAATTCCTCAAATTGATCTCTTTTCATTATCAGATATTAGCTTGTAAGTTCATTTCTGAATGCCTCTCCCACTAAGCCTCCCATAGGTGATTAAATTTCTAGCTAGTCAGTACTAAATTCAAATCTACAGTTTTATAGAGAAGGCTCTAGTGCCTTTTTAAGAGCTCTGATTACCTTAGCATTTAGATTATCATCTTCTTCAACAAAAGAATATGA